TCTCCCTGCCTCCCACCACTCCTCCCTGCTCCCCCACCACTCTTCCCTGTCTCCCACCACCTTCCTTGCTCCCACCACTCTCCCTGCCTCTCACCACTCCTCTTCCTGTCCCTCCCACCACTCTCCCCTGCCTCCCACCACTCCTTCCTGTCCTCCCACCACTCCTTCCTTTCTCCCACCACTCCTCCCTGCCTCCCACCACTCCTTCCTGTCCTCCCACCACCTCTTGCTGACTCCCACCACTTCTCCCTGCTCCCACCACTCCTTCCTGTCCTCCCACCCACCCTTGCTGACTCCCACCACTTCTCCCTGCCTCCCACCATTCCTCCCACCACCCCTGCTGACTCCCACCACTCCTCCCACAACTCCTTGCTGCCTCCCACCAGTCCTACCTGCCTCCCACCACCTCTGCTGCCTCCACCCACTTTGCTGCCTCCCACCACTTCTCCCACCACTCCTACCTGCCTCCCACCACCTCTTCCCTGTCCTCCTCCCACCACCTTCCTTTTCTCCCCACCACCCTCCCTGCCTCCCACCACTTCCTGTCCTCCCACCACTCCTTCCCTTGCTCCCCACCACTCCTGCCTCTCACCCTTCCCTGTCCTCCCACCACCTCCCTGCCTCCCACCCCCTTCCTGTCCTCCCACCACTCCTTCCTTTCTCCCACCACCCTCCCTGCCTCCCACCCACTCCTTCCTGTCCTCCCACCACCTCTTGCTGACTCCCACCACTTCTCCCTGCCTCCCACCACTCCTTCTCCTGTCCTCCCACCCACTCCTGCTGACTCCCACCACTCTCCCTGCCTCCCACCATTCCTCCCACCACCTGCTGACTCCACCACTCCTCCCACAACCTTGCTGCCTCCCACCACCCTACCTGCCTCCCACCACCTCTTGCTGCCTCCCACCACTCTCCCACCACTCCTACCTGCCTCCCACACCACCTCTGCTGACTCCCACCAATCCTCCCCACCACCCTTGCTGCCTCCCACCACTTCTCCCCGCTCCACCACTCCTCCCACCACTCTTGCTGCCTCCACCACCCTCCCACCACTCCTTGCTGACTCCCACCACTCCTCCCACCACTCCACCTGCCTCCCACCACCCTGACCTGCCTCCCCACCACTCCTTGCTGCCTCCCACCACCCTCCCTGGCTCCCACCACTCTTCCCTGTCTCCCACCACTCCTACCTGCCTCCCACCACCTCCGCTTCTCACCACCCTACCTGCCTCCCACCACTCCTACCTGCCTCCCACCACCCTGCTGCCTCCCACCACTCCCTCCCTGGCTCCCACCACTCTTCCCCGTCTCCCACCACTCCTCCCATCACTCCTGCTGCCTCCCCACTCACTTACCTGCCTCCCACCACCTCCGTAGCTCCCACCACTCTTCCCTGTCTCCCACCACCCCACCTGCCCTCCCACCACCTCCCCCGCCTCCCCGCCTCTCACTACTTCTACCTGCCCCACCACCTCCTGCCTCCCACCACTCCTCCCTGCCTCCCACCACTCCTCCCTGCCTCCCACCACCTCCCTGCCTCCCACCACCTCCCTGCCTCTCACTACTTTACCTGCCTCCCACCACTCTTCCCTGCCTCCCCACCACCTCCCTGCCTCCTCACTACTCTCCTGCCTCCCACCACCTCCCCCGCCTCTCCCACCATTCCTACCTGCCTCCCACCACCTTGCTGCTCCCACCACTCCTCCTGGCTCCCACCACCTACCTGCCTCCCACCACTCCTCCCACCATTCCTTGCTGCCTCCCACTCTCCTACCTGCCTCCCACCACTCCTCCGTAGCTCCCACCACTCTTCCCTGTCTCCCACCACCCTACCTGCCTCCCACCACTCCTCCCTGCCTCTCACTACTTCTACCTGCCTCCCACCACCCTACCTGCCTCCCACCCTCCCTCCCCGCCTCCCTGCCTCCTCACTACTTCTACCTGCCTCCCACCACTCCCTCCTGCCTCCCACCACTCCTGCCTCCCACCACTCCTCCCTGCCTCCCACCACTCCTCCTGCCTCTCACTACTTTTACCTGCCTCCCACCACTCTTCCCTGCCTCCCACCACTCCTCCCTGCCTCTCACCACTCTTCCCTGCCTCCCACCACTCTTCCCTGCCTCCCACCACTCCTCCCTGCCTCTCACTACTTTTACCTGCCTCCCACCACTCTTCCCTGCCTCCCACCACTCCTCCCTGCCTCTCACCACTCTTCCCTGCCTCCCACCACTCTTCCCTGCCTCCCACCACTCCTCCCTGCCTCTCACTACTTCTACCTGCCTCCCACCACTCCTCCATGCCTCGTCAATGGTAAATGTGCTGTTTTCACTGACTGTAAGAACAACCTTCAGTCTCAGACCAAAGCTGATACCTTCTGTCTACCATAGACAACACATTATGCTTTCAATATCTTCCCAGGCGGTAGTATCTTCCTGTTTGGTAGCTGCCTAATACCTACTACCTAGTCGCGCAGGTGTGCATGTGGGAGGTACAGGTGTAGTATCATATATCAATGTCCATTTATTACTAGTTTTTACCTGCTCGTGTGTATGTGTACATATAATTTATTGGCGCTAGATCATAAATTTTCCTGCACGGTGTGTGTGGGGCAAGAGGCGCCAACAGTCAAGCAAGGGACACCGAGTTACATACACGTGTGAAAGTTAGTGTTGTGAGCTGCTCCGTGTAAAACAGCCCGTCGTCGTAACCTGCTGCTGTGTGTTAATGCATTCCATCGTTTACGTCTAAGGGCTCATTAGATTACTTTGTCTAAGCATTAAGATATTTGTAACACTTTTTTAAAGTTTTTTGTTTACTGTCATTAAAACTTTTATAAAATAGACTGATAACGTGATAAAATTACCAGTGGCAATTTTTATTATACTTCACCGTCACTACATGGTCCTGACCGTGTTCCCTTCTCATGTTTCACTTTACCATGACCCAAGTTGTGTTCCTTCCACCAGTTACCATATTACTCGACATCAAAAACTATACTAAAAACAAAATTGGTATACACTTGACAATATTATAATACTTATTAACTAACACGTAACTTGATGTAATACAGATGATACTAAATGTTGTATGATAATTCCTTTAGCATTTTACAGGCTCTCGCTACTGTTGTCTTTGCCCACCTTGTATTTGTATTCCTCTGACTAAATAAACTTCCATTGCCAATAGCCAGAGTGAAACATTACCACGTATAATAATTGTCCAACGGAAAAGGGGAGAAACAGTGATGATTATGAGTCGATGCAGGATATTCACGCTTGTGTTAATATCCACCATGTTATTAATTGGGTGAGTAACTGTACCTATGTTTGTGTATGTGTCACCACCTCTTGTGTACACCTGCTGACCACGCGTTCACACACACACACACACACACATACACCTGGGAAGAGCATATGTGAGGTACGATCCCTCTATATATGCTCACTACTATGCTCACTACTATGCTCTCTACTCTACCACCGCTATACCACCACCATACTCACTACCAAATCACCTTCCTCCTCCTCCTCCTCCTCGTCTTCTCATACTTGAAACAAATAAATTTTACTACAGCCAGAAAAGGATTGTGGGGAAGAGGAGGAGGAAAAGGGCGGGAGAGGGCAAGAGGAGGAGGAAAGAGAGGGCAAGAGGAGGAAAGAGAGGGCAAGAGGAGGAGGAAAGAGAGGGCAAGAGGAGGAGGAAAGAGAGGGCAAGAGGAGGAAAGAGAGGGCAAGAGGAGGAGGAAAGAGAGGGCAAGAGGAGGATGTTCAGCGTATTTGTTTAACACACTGAAAGTATTTATTCATACATTGACCTATTTATGTATGCGTAGTTTGAATTTAATGTTCAAAAAAATATTAATATGAACCCAAAAATCATTAACATTATTACCTATGACCAGCAGGTACCAGACCCTCTTCCTACAGCAACCCCACGACATCCCTCCGCTTCTTAAAGGTAGGAGTCAGGTATATAGTGTTGTAGTCAGGTATACAGTGTTGTGGTCAGGTATATAATGTTGTGGTCAGGTATACAGTGTTGTAGTCAGGTTATAGTGTTGTGGTTAGGTGTACTGTAGTGTTGTGGTCAGGTATACAGTGTTGTGGTCAGGTATACAGTGATGTGGTCAGGTATACAGTGTTGAGGTCAGGTATATAGTGTTATGGTCAGGTATATAGTGTTGTGGTCAGGTATACAGTGTTGTGGTCAGGTATATAGTGTTGTAGTCAGGTATACAGTGTTGTAGTCAGGTATACAGCATGGTTAGTCTTGCTATTCTCTGCAGCACACCAAATACGGGGAGGAGGGAAGGGTGAGCATACTGAGGTACAGGATACTCGGTGGGAGGCGCAGCAGCAGGAGAGGAAGGCTGCCATGCTGAAGGGGTGTGGTAGTGAACCCTCTGAAGCCTCTCTTCTTCACGTTCTCGACCAACACCCAACTCTTGATCACCTCTTGATAAACGACGCCCATCAAGCCGTCTTCTGCTACATCGCTAAGGTGACGCTCACACGACTCGTCTCATTGCACACTTTATCACTTTCGTTACTAGTTTAACCGTAAGACATTTTTATTCTCTTTTTTTATTACTGTATTTTTAGAGCATCATTTGTACTGTTTTTAGGTATATATTCATCACTAGTCTGAGGCAATGAATGAATTTTTAACACACTTGGTTGTTCCCTCCTTATATACTGTTGTTAGTGTGAGAGATGAAGGGCCAGCAGAGATATCGAGGTTCAGACTCACCCCGTCAGCACTACATGATACGTTAAACACCCCTCAAGCCGTCCTGACACTGGCACAAGGTCTCAGCCTCCCACCACCACTATCTGAACACGACCACGAGTCCATGGCCCCCAGCGTAGCCTCATCTGTCTGGGATATACTGAGGCTCCCTGAACATTAAAAGAAAATCGGAATTTAGAGAAGATGATTGTCGGGGAATCTTAGACATAGTAATAATTATCTGGCCCTGTCCCTAAGCTGTTACTCCTCAGTGGTATTATACTTTCATCAAATTATTCCCAAACACTTTAGGTTGCGAGCAAAACCTGGAGAAAAGTTTGGGCGAACACGGTGGGTGTTTCCGCCGTCCTGAAGAGGAAACACATGCTGCAATATATGGTTAACTCTCTCATTCCCGACGAGCACCGCCAGGTATGTACACACACCTGGCCTCCATACCTACACAATACACCATCAGATATGTACCAAAAGTTTTAGCCCTTCGGCATATGTTTTCACCAAATTTCACGACGAGACTTTTGTCTTTTATTGTACACACACCTCACACATTTCTATAAAGATGTTTTTTCTATTGTAAGTAAAATTTAGTGAGTTAAAGTTGGTTAATGTTTAAACCTTTATCTCCGATGTAAACTTAATACAACTGTAGTGGTTCACAATCTGTCGTAAACTCCAATTCCTACTAAAGGAAGAACTCCTTTTCAGAAGTCTGATCTGATACGCAAGGTGGCGAACTACACCAAGTTTCTGGTTGTGCGTCACCCGTTCCAGCGTCTGTTCTCTGCTTACAAAGACAAGATTCAACCTCCTAATCCAGAGCGAGATGTAATAAGCGTTTTGTCTTATGTACAGAAACACCGGTTTAACGCCACTCGAAAAGATATTCAGTGGCAGGAGTTTGTGTCTTACATCATTGACGGCGGCTATAGAGAGAATCAGCACTGGAGGCCATACGTAATGCAGTGTTACCTGTGCGACATCCAGTATGACATTATTGCCAAGTATGAGACGCTTTTTGAGGATTCTGAGGAGATCCTACGTAGAATCGGAGCTCCAGAGTCCTTACACTTCCCTGACTATTACCCCAGCAGCACCCAAACAGAGCTGATGAGTTACATGGGGAAGCTCACCCAGGAACAGACGGACCGCCTCTACCAGATCTACCAGCAAGACTTTGAACTCTTTCAGTACACACACAACACTGAATAGATGGCCTGCTGCCTCCTACCACCACTTAATGTCTCACCACTTCTCCCTGCCTCCCACCACCCCTTCCTGCCTCTCACCCCTCCTTCCTGCCTCCCACCACTCTTTCCTACGTCCTCCACCTACGTTACCTACAGCTACCTCGCCTCACTGCCTCCCTCTCTTACCTGATAATCAACACTCCTCGCCACTGCTGTAGTATCAGAAACTTTTACACTTCCTTATCTGTTATGATAATCATCTCTCGTATTTATTCATCCCTGCACAACTTTACCTGATAACTCAGTGTGTGAGAAGTCGCGAGTTTAATATTGTAAACAATTCGATCACGTTCATATCCTGACCTGTTGCACGCATACTAACACCTTGTATCCTGACCTGTTGCAACGCGTACTAACACCTTGTACAGGTATCATCAGTGTAAACAATACTGTGGACTGAACGATGCGTAATAAAATGGCACTAATATTGGAAAACATTTATATTATTTTTCCACACAAGACAAAGTATTCGTGAAACTTGGGATAGTTAGGTCATAATTCCAGATTTTAAATATACAAAACACGATCTGTCAACACTCACCACAGTAGTGACAATATTATCTATGTACAGTATTTATGATAGAGATTTAATTTAACAATACTGAAGAATAAAAAATATCAACAATGAAAGTAACAGTTCGGGGTTTGGCTTACTTTACTGGCAAAGTTCTCTTTCAATTACTGTATACATATATGGGATGACAGTACACAGCTGTTAAGAGAATCTAAGTTACAAATTAATCCACTTCAGGAAAATAATGACTGATAGGGTTAATAATAAAGATTAGAATATCCTTATTATTAAAATCCCATTTTAATCCCATTCTGTATTATTAAAATCCCTCAACAACAATATTTAGCAAAACATCTTACAGTTAACAGTAACATCAACACTCACACCACAAATTTTATAACTTTCTTTCATTAAAATATTTCTCTGCAACAAAAGTTTCACCGTTCCTCAAAGTATCAAGAACACTCGATGGCAAGGTATCCGTCAATGACAACATCAATGTGTCGTCCAGTGATGTAGGGAAGTTGAGACATGAGATCATTGGCAAATTTAGCCTTTATGGATCATATGAAGATTAGCTCCCTCCTCCCCAAGTGCTCACCTGAAGTTTTGTCCTTCAGTTTAACCAGCCTGAAGTTCAATTACCCCCAAATTATCAGGGAGGCCTAATCTTCAGGTGATATATAAAGGCTAAAACTGTAATTGGTCTTGTTTCTGATCTTGACTCAATCACTGGTCTTATCCAGCCCTCTATTTTATTCATATGAATATAACAAAAATATTGTTCATGCACAAAATAATTGGTACATTTACCACGAGGAAAGGAAATAATGACAGCTACATGGGATTAAACATCTGAGATATTAGGATGATATAAGTTCATAATCATAAATTATTTCTTGACAGTGTTACACTTCACACAACAATTCACATCTCACAAAGATTAGGAAACCCAGTTTATTTCATCTGATTAACTCCTTCACTATGGGGGCATCATTTTAATATTATATTTCGCTAACATCAGATATATTTTATTCGACCCCATACACAGGGGGTTACACACCCTAATGCTAAATGGAGTTAGGTTAACATTATGGATACTTAATCATCAGGTAAAATAAATACCGGTATGGGTTCCTAATCTTCATGACATTTAACAATTCTTCTATAAAAGGTATTTGCATTACCAACAGGAAAATGTCTTAAAGGTTCTTCCCCCCCTACAGCCTCACAACAACCTGACTAGTCCAGCATCCATCAGTAACCTCGAAGGTAACACTCAGAGGGTATAAACAGATCAGTGGAAGGCTCACATACCCTAACAACACCATTTTAGTAACAACACAAAATGACTCTCGACATATATTCCTCATGTCCTCTCTCTCAATTTCTTGCTTAGTTTATGATCTCCAATATTAAAGTTGTCTTCAGTAGGTAGTGAGAGAGAGAGCTCACAGTGGATCCGTAACAACCCAACTGGTACTGATGTCTCCAGCTGTTATTCAGAAGAAGAAAAAAATCACAGAAAAAAGATAAATTTGTCCTTGATGTGTAAGACTGTACAACAATGGATTAATCTTTGTTATTTAATTGTGTGAGACTGCATAGTAAATAATCGAAGTCTGAGAATGATTCAAAGTTTATCATCCTAAAATAAATGGAGGATAATTGCACATTAGATATAAACAGAAAACATAAGTTATCTGAGTTTTAGTTTTATGGATTTGGCACTACAGATGCATTCAGATTGATCTGATTTGGCATGATGGTACATTATACACGGTCAGTCAAAATATGCGCACACACTGTATCATATAAAAACACCTAATAAAATAATCTTAAGCAGTTTGAAATATCACTGAGTATTCTAAAACAAAAGTTTGATAAATATAACAAAAATAATAAATCTGCATTACAATATAATTCAGCTTGTTCTTTTAATTCTTCAGTGTTCTATGTTATAAATATGTTTAAGGAATAACATCAAAACATTACCAACCAACATACTAAGTAAAATGTTATATGTATTTACACACAAATATAGTACAGCACATAGCACACAGTGAGCACATTACAGAACAAAATAAATTAACACTGTAGTTGGCACAAGTTTGATTTAATCCCTTCACTTTGGGGATGCCACTTTTAATATTGTATTTGGCTTAGATGGTTATATTCAACACAGAAGGAATCCCGTACACAAGTGGTTAATCACTCATGCAAACACACAACTTTTACCAAACAATTACACTGCAACAAGTCATGAAAAAAAAGTTAAACACTTCATACACAACACTTGATAAAAAGATAATTCAAGATAATAATCATTTAATACAGTACTCACATGCAGTACTCTATAGTCAATATGCAAAAGTCATAGTTAAGAGTCAGTCAGAGTGTACTGTAAATTCATAAGTCAGGCGACAAAACTAAATTAAACTGTCCTGTACTGGTACCACGATCAACAAGTCTTTCTCCAATGGACTAGCTTCAAACTTTTCATTAACAATTACCTGGATCTACAGGTCTAATCTTGAATGCTGTAGCAATTTATTCTGTAGACAGTAATGAGTCAAATTCAGTCCTATGTTTTTTATCAATTTGAAGCAAAACAAGTTTCATTTCAAAGCAAACGAGAGATTTCATTTTATGCACGCATGCACGCACATGCATGCACACGTGCGCTCACACACACAAATATCTCCTCATACCACACAGGAACCACATTTCATACAAGTGATAAATCAGATATGGAGAGGTTCAAGTTAGAACAAGACTATACGTACTGTAGTTACATTCACGATACTTAAATATTTTTAAGGAAGCCGAGTTGCGGGGGGTGAGAAATCTGCACAAAATTGATGGGTAACAGAGAGAGGCAGACGGACAGATGGACACATCAAAATCATTACGATGGAACTTCAAAATTTTGCCACAATGGGAGGGGTCAAAGTACAGGTAAATGCAAATTTAAAAAAATCCATACAATCATGACTTGGCCCACAGTAGTCAACTCAAGCTGTACCCTGGTCAGGTCACATGTCACCCAACCCTTGGCAGAAATATTACACAACACTCGACATTGCTTCATAATAAATCTTTAATCAAAGTAGAGCATAATTAATTAACAGTTGGTTTGCACTGTATGTGTGATATTAAGATCTAATGCTTAGCAAGAGAGCTAGATGTCTAAAATAAACCACCATACTCATACACATTCATGATGAACTATATAAATTTTCTGCAAAGTTTAGTCATGGTTTCAACTTCATGATTTAAACCATGCTCACTGGTTTGCTGTTTAAAAGCCACAATTATATGAGCCAAAATTTACGTCAAAGGATTCAATTGTTTAAGCTGTAACTGGGAACCCTACATCCCTGCCCCCATATGTGCAAAAATGGATCACAAAGAATATGAAACTTCCACTGATTATGGCTGCCGTCCCTACAGCTAACCTGTTGATGATGGCTAATTTCTGCTAAAGATGGCCACCTTTCCTACAGCTAACTTCTGCTGATGATAGCTGTCATCCCTACAGCTAACTTCTGTTGGTGATGGCTGCCGTCCTTTCAGCTAATTTCTGCTAAAGATGGCCACTGTCCCTACAGCTAACTTCTGCTGACAATGGATGCTGTCCCTACAAATAACTTTAGCTAATGATGGCTGCCATCCACACAACAAACTTCAGCTGATGATGGCTGCTGTTTAAGGGTTAAGGATTGAAACAAAAATATGGACATCTAACAGTTATCAACATCACACTGGCCTCATATTATCATTAATATCTGAGAATCTTCTTAAGTCTGGCATCCTGGTGTGAACTTCCTCAGTCATGCAGGAACTAACATAAGATAGCTGTACACAAAGTCAAGAATTACCCACCATCGACACATCGCTGCATCTTACACTGAAAACAATTTCTAACTTATGAGTAAAAACTAACTGATATGATCCCAGAAGTTCACTTCCTTGTAATACATTCTCAGTTTGTAAGGACAGACATATAAATGACAATCCTACAATATCACAACTAAATTTTCAGCAGACCAACTCCCAAGTGACATTTTTTCAGCCCAGCATCAACATCCGAGAAGAAACAATATCAAGCAGAAGTCAAAGGCATTGATGTAAAAGCATAAATGTTTCCTAATGTAGCATAAGGAACTACAACTAGTGGCACAACAACTACACTTCACCTTATACAGTACAGTACTGCAATAGCTCTCATAGTGTTAGTGTATTGTGTATATTCTGGTGATTCAAAAATAAATTGAATGAAAACAGTATAAATTAATTTCTTCAGCATGCCAACATATACAGTCAGAGTCGGCATAACGTACACCCACTTAACATTGATCCACCTAACATAAATCCACTTCACATTCACCCACTTAACCTTCTGGTGTTCAGAAACGCATTGTGTACGTTAAGTTGACACTGACTGTATGATAAAGACAGTCAAACATGCAGACCAGGAGACACTCTACACAGCCACATCTGCTTAGGTAATGGTAACACAAAGGACTTGATACATTTAACAAATTTACCCTTTCACCTTTGCAATGATTAGCTTTGAAGAAAGATCTGTCTCTAAGAAGCTTTAAAAAGGTATTGTGTAGCTGTAATGTAGTGTACTGTACTGTGTATGCTAACTTTGTGCAAGTGCTTAAGATCTTAGTTGTTGAAGCACAGAAATATATTATCACAAATACTATTTCTATGTTGAGGTTTACCTGAAATTGTGGATTTACTAAACTGTCTAGTTAGATCAATAGATGGGCAGATTTTCACTAAAACAAAAATTAATAATAAACAAAAAATTATAAAATAAATAAATGATATTAAAAACTTTCAGTAAAAGTTATTAGTACATGACAACCATATATGAAACCATTTGTAACGAGCTGTTGTTGTACAGGACTGTGCCAGCCACAAATAATAATCACTTGATTAGCCAAGACACAAGAGGTATGTACTGAACCGTATAAATTGTGCAAAAATTTCCCTTTCAATGTTAAAAAAATCTTATTATTTTCAAAATGCAGGTTATTTACATTTTATTTTAAACTAAAGCTAATTGTAATACATAAAATCACTTTCTGGTGAAGTGAATAATTTTGATACTTTATATTTGATGTGTTGATGTGGACAAGTTTTTGGAATTTGAGTTTTTTTTACTGTATAAGAATTTGTATATATGTACACAGTTTTAATTACCATAGAGGTGATGCTTAAAACCCACTACAGTACCTATCAAGAGGCTCACAACACACACAACCAAAGATTCTCTCAACATGAAGGAGAGGCACAGTAACACTTAAAGAGAACTATGGAAGATAACATTACTAAAAATTATTCTGACTGAACATACTTGTAGTCGAACTCATAATAGCATTCCTCTAGCTGCAAGTATGTGTGACTGAATTACTATGTGCAAGACTGTCCTCTTGCCCAGCTCACCTGCCGGCCACATTCACCTGCTGCTGGTTGTGCTGCCGTTAACGCTTCCTCCTCCTACACCGAGCTCCTCCAACTGAAATGCAAACATTGGCCTCATTACTCCAAACCATTTCAAATTGTCAAAGTTCACAAATTAACACAATCCCATTAAGCGTGAATAATGAACCCATACGGATCAGTATTCAATAAGGTTTTGTGGATTAATTTGTACTGTAAAAATTCCTTAAAAGCATCAGAGACAAGTAACACCTGACAAATTATAAGAACTAAAAGACAAATCAATCCCTACAGCTGTAAATAGGGTCACCAGGATACAGCATAGGTCAAGGTCATAGTGTATTGATGGAGAAAATTTAGTAAATATCCTTTGCATAACAGTGATACAATGCACATTTAAATAACAATAGTATCTTAAAGTATTCTAGAAATCAACTTGTAATGGGTTAAATTGCCACATTCTAGTAACACACTCTCTCATATCCATATACTCAGCACAGAACAGTGACTATATGCCCCAAAACCAAACGACTCCTTGCATGGAAAAAAAAAATCAGATAAAAGAGTTAATAATATGCTAATACCTGTACTGTACTTAACCCCCTGCACATGGGGTCCCCTCTGAGTTGAATAAAATTGTTTGGCATTAACCAAATACAATATTAAAAGTGGCTTCTCCATAGTGAAGGGGTTAGTGGAGATAGTCTACTAACACTTTGTGTTCAGGGTCCCCCCTGAGCTAAATAAAATTGTCTGCATTAACCAAATAAAATATTAAAAGTGGCACCCCAGTAATGAAGGGATTAAAAATATCCCACAACAACAGGATGGACAACTGACACACTCATGTAACATTACCTACTGAAATGTTGATTAAACTGAAAATATATACAATACAGTATACATCTTCAAGTTAAAACTAAAGACAAATATAAATTCATTAACAAATTATGGTTTAGTCACTGGTATATTCTATTAAAATTTCAAAGCATGTGATTGGTGTGCTATGCTTGTCAGGAATGTTAATAGCTTTGTAAATGGGTAAAACAAAAAGTAAGACTGAGGGGTATTATAATACTGTCAAGCATTCAATAAAACACAGAAGAGCATGAAGAGTAACTCATAAGTGTCAATATAAGGACAGAGTAAATCATAAGTGTCAATATAGGCAATAGGAGTAACTCATAAATGTCAACATAAGCAAGAAAAGTAACTCATAAGTGTGAATAAAGGTCAAAAGAGTAGCATGGGTCACTTACAAGCCAACAAGTTATGCATCATGACAATAAAATACTACTACATATACACAGACAGGGGCTCACAATTCTCTTATTAGGCAGCATTTATTCTGACTTACAGATAAATTATAAAATGATCTGGCTCCTGAAAAATTTGCTGTAGATTAATGAGGTCTCTTGTGTGTGCACTGCCGAGCCATTATGCCGGGCGTCCTAACACCACCATCTCGTAAACGAAGTGAAAAGTCAATGGAGAAGGCTGTGGCACGAGAGATGTCACCAGCGCTGTATTATACAAAATCACCACTACAGTACAGATGTTCCTCTATTTACAAATGAGTTATATTCCTGTGGCTTGTCTGTTAGTCCATTTGTTTGCAAGTCCAATTTTACTCATGTAGGTACCGAACATATTGTAAAAAATAAATAAATAAAAGATTTACAGCACAGATATACCCCAATAATACATTGCCCAACAGTATACCTTACCAGTCTCTCACAGTATCTTAATGTTAAAATAGATAATATTAATTTCTGAAGACAATACAATCCAGATCAGGTTCATTTGTATATCTGAACGTTTGTGGGTCGAATGGTAAGTAGAGGAGCAACTGTACGCTGTTGTATTTCCCTAAAATTACACTCATACAAAGATACATTGAATATAATACAACTAAAAATTATCATGTTACGACTGTACTGTACCACCACACATTGTTCCAGACAGCAAAAAGCCCCTATAGTGATGTTTGTGAACCCTCTAGTGATGTTGGTGAACCCTCCAGGGATGCTTGTGAACCCTTTAGTGATGTTTGTGAACCCTCTAGTGATGGTGGTGAACCCTCTAGGGATGCTTGTGAACCCTCTAGTGATGTTTGTGAACCCCGGACACACCTATTTTCACTCAATAATAACATGAAGTCATTATTAAGTGAAGTCCCCCCTCATGCTTACCTCTGCTTCACTGTCAATACTGTCTTCATCATCAGAACCGTGCTCAGAGGGGGCAGGCGTAGTGGCTCTTGAGGAAGTGGGTGACGGAGGTTCAGAAAGAGGTCGTGGGTAGTTGAGTCGACCGGCACCAGCCGCCTCTTCCACTGCTAACTCAGGATACACCAGACGGAGGGCATGCTGGCGAGCTTGTCGATAATACTGAAAGAAAAACATGAGATTCATCTTGATATCTTGTTTTATAAATAAATCAGGATCAAGCAATTCTACACGATGACCCCTGCCAGGCCTATGAGTGCTAACCTCCGACTGGGGTTTAAAAATTTTACAAACTTGATATTGTAATTATATTATCTTTCACCTTCATACTAAGGCCCTAGTAAGACAATATCCATAAAAGGAAAAGAAGTAGAGAGTTAGTTTTACTGTCGGCATAACACGAGATGCTCTGATCTGTTCATTTGGTGACACTTGTTATCAAGCACTTGAGCTTGATCAACCAGCCCACATCCAGCTCACCTCATTAGCTCAAAGGAACGAGGGAGAGATGGGGAGTTGCTGAAGCCCAAAAATAATTTTATCAAATTATTAAGAGGCTTGTAAGTGATGTTAATAACAGAATGGACCAGAGCATCACGTCATGTTCACCAGCAGAACTCTCAATCCTCTTTTTTACAAAACTGTTGAGTGTCGGGAGTGTGAGGGTCATCTCTTCAGAACTCCTATGAAAGGATAATTACCGAGCCAAGTATCCTCCAGTCCAATAGTTCAGATAAGCGCTCGGTACGATTCCTCTGGATGATTCGTTGTCGACGATTTAGCTGCACAAATTCGAACAAGTTTTGGGCTAATTGTCGTACTGACTCCTCTAAGCCAATGTAGCGACGATCAATAATGTAGATGCCATAACTCATTGGGTCTGCTATATGTTCTGCCATGAAACAACCAAATCCTGAAAGAGATATAAGATTATTAGTAACATTAATATCTACAAGTTTTTTACCAATCAAGTTTCAAAATACAGTACAATATAATATTCCTTAAATATTTTAGACAATAGAATGTAATAACCATCAGAGTGGATTATAAATATGCTCAGGTGAAGAATGCCTAGAAAGACCCTACAGCTAACATCCACTGATGGTGGCCGCCATCCCTACAGCTAACGTGCACTGATGATGGCCGCTGTTTAAGGGTTTTGACCCTGTAGACCTTACCTGATAAGTTGGTAGTGACTGAAGGAATGCCCATAACAGTACATTCAGCAGGAGTGTAGCCCCAAGGTTCATAGTAGGAAGGGAAGACACCCAAGTGACACCCACGGACAAATTCTTCGTAGTCCATACCGAAGAGAGGATTTGACACGGAGAGGAACTCGGGATGGAAGATAACCTGGTGGGAAGAAGGGTCCCTGACATACACTCACTCCAGAAAGTATCTTCAAAGTGGGATCCGATGAATTTCAAAATGAACGTTGTGACTCCTGTTGTCTCCATAGTGTTGTCAAAATCCTTCGTCAGTTTTGTCATATTGTCTCACATAAAATCATTTAAGATAATTTTTGGAGTGGTTGTACTTGTCTTATCAAATATCAATACCTATGACAGAGTTCATAGCTTGTCATAACACAGGCAGCTTACTAAGGCTTCTATAACTAAACTGTACTATAATCACAAGCCATACTATCAAAATCTTTCAATGACTCAATTCTAAAAGACTTTTATTCACAATTCACTTAATATTTTCAACATTCATGAAGCACACTGTATTCTTCTCTCACCTTGACTCTATCGTGGGTGTCGTTAAAGAGGTGACACCTACGAAGGGCATTAAGCACCGGGTCTGTATGGTCGTCGCATACATTGTGAGTAGTGATGGGAGGGAGGGTTTCTCTCTGTGCAGCATAGATACACCTCTTGAGTCTCACCGTTTCCTCCTTAAGCAGTAACTCGCTAGCCTCAGGTAGACGGCCTCTGTTTTGCAAATGTAATTAGATTTATGTACAGTATTGTCAATCATTACTTGTGAATCATTACTTGTGAATTATTATTTGTGAATTATTGTGAATCATTATTTGTTTACTTGTGAATCGATCTTTGAGAATCTTTACTTGTGAATCATTATGTGTGAATTATTACTTGAGAATAATTACTAGTGAATCATTAATTGCAAATTATTAATTGCAAATAAACACTTGTGAATAAACACTTGGGAATTAACACACGTGAATCATTACTTAGGTGAACAAATCTTTGTCTGACAACCATAATAAAACACTTAACAAAGATTCGTAAATGCCTGTCCCAAAACATTATGTACATATACTGTATACAGTAATGGGAAGTTTGGAAAACAATCTCTTGCTACAGGAGTGGATTGTATTCATAGTCTGCCTCGTACAGGGTCATTTTTTCTACTCGAGAACTTTAATTGATATTTTTTAAATGTTCTTCACACTGGTCAGACTTTCTCCTACTGATTTTTACATCCCTGTTTACTGAACATATTAAAATAGAGTCATAATTTAGGGTTTCTCAAATATAAAAATTACCCTTTGTAATGAAAACTGGTTTGAGGTGTCATAATATATTGTCCTGTACACGGTAACAATGTCTAAAATGAGTGAATGTTGCTTGTGTGAGGTATGGAGGTAAGATGATGGATACTGGGAAACAGTATTGATATGAGGTCAACAGTATATCTGATGTAGTGATTGCTGAGGAGAGGAGAAGATGGATGACTACAATTCATAAGAATAAATTAAACCATTTTGAAAGGTTATACAGATACTGGAACTATTTCAGGCATGTCAAGAGGAGGAGACAGCCTTGGCCACCACACTGCTCCATCTTAGGACAACACGCACGCACGCACGCACGCACGCACACACACACACACACATTATAAATGACGTGATCAATATTTTTTTATAAGTGAATACTGTACGTACATTAACCAAACTGAAGGGAAATATTCCAACACTTACGTAAGACAAACTTCATACATGCGCTTCCCAATCTTGGCCTGAATGTCGTGTATAGTGTCGCGTAAGGCCTTAGTGATGGCTTGGCCTCTTAATGACTCTATGTTAAAGTTGTTGGTCTTGGCTGGGAAAATGATAAATGCTATCACAGTCTTATCTGTTCCACTGGCCTGCGGGAATCAAACAAATAAATGACAACATAAATATAGACAGTGGTAATGGAAGATGCTCAACTTAAAAACAATTGTTATAGACATTAACCCCTTGTGTATGGAGTCCTCTCTGAGCTGAATAAAATCATTGGGCATTAGCTAAATAAAATATCAAAAGTGCCATCCCTGTAGTGTCGGGGTTAAATTAATTCAGCAATATTAGGAAGTCTTGATATGACCGGAAGACCTATATGCTTTAAATTCATAAAAAAATATTCTAGGACATGTAGACCAATAGATCGATGGGCATCACTGCCAACAAAACTGAGCTTTATTAAGACACGGCAAACCCAAAGGTCCCCAAGTCCTAATGGGTCCCAAATTTGATTTTTTTTCTTTTTTTGACAGCTACATAAACAAAAACTAGAAATTAGCTGAACTCTCTCTCTCAACCAAACTGTTGCCATAACAAGATAAGAGGAATTAGTTGTGATGAATTTCTTCTCTTTGGTCCCTCCTGGTAAAATAAATTAAGTAAGTTACCGACACATTTATGCCATGGGGAAATAAACACGAAGATACAGGCTACATCCACGAGCGCACTTGCTTAGGGCTGACTGTGAAATGAGGGCGGCTACCAGACATATGAGGCAGATAAGAGCCTACTCTAACAGGTCCAGGTCCTATGTGTATGTTCTCTGTCCTGATCTGTATGATCTCAAGTGAAAAATCAAAACTTTTTGGAAATATAATGTTCATACAAACATTAGTGTATTTAAACCTCGTACGGTATAAAAATTTCCTATGCATATTTACATTGCTAAGAGAAGCAGTGTTGCTCGGGAGAGCATCAAAGGCCATTGTGTCAGGAGAGATGGCTCCATTACACTGCTTTTTAAAAAATTTTCAACACATTATTAAGAAACATTTTTTTTTTAAATTATAGCAGACACCCTGTACAGTACAGTACTTATTTTAAACATAGGGTGAGGAACACAACTCGTGGTCCAGCCTCTTTCAATGCAGAGATTATAAAATGCCTCGATACATAACACAACAATAAAATGAAGTGTGGTAGCAAAGGAAACACAAGCAGACATTGGCAATTTTGTTCTTGACTTGTGTTTTGACCTTACAGTCTTCCTCAGTTGAAACCAGGAAGCATCAATTATCTCACCTTCATGTAGTGGTTTAACCTAGCCAGAGCCTCGATATAGAGATCAGCTCCCTTGTTGCCAAACTCGTAACGTCCAGCAATGAAGAAATAGAGAGTCTTGTCGAGGTCAAAGTCCATGAACCTAAAAAGGTAAAAAGTAACCCTTAATCTTTCTTCTTCTTTTTTCCAAGTAATAAACTCAATCCTGTAAAAACACTCACATGACACAGATAACTTCACACCCTCCCTCCTTCTTAAAAACAGATAACTGCAGTGGTGTCAGGCCTGAAATATTTCTTATGAAGTTGTGATATCTTAAAGTCTAGTTGTGAACATACAGTAATAGCCAAGTGATGTCTTAGATTGCACACTCGCGCCAAAAGTTATGTTTACGGAGGGGACCGATAAATTTCAATAAATATCGCAACTCCTATTGACCTCGGTAGCATTAACAAATTTTTTTGTCTATTGTGTCGTGTTGCCTCACATAAAATTCACCAAGATACTTTTTGGAGTGAGTATACTGTACAGTACTACCTTATGTTACTCACCCATAAAAATGACCTCTAATAAAATCATTAATTCTCTCTTTGGATAACGCATGAAGGTTCTGGAACTCGTGGAGGGCAGCAAATTTCTTCACATTTAGTCCATTGGGTGTGATAATGTCTGGCTTGCGTTTGAGCAGATGCTCAGCTTCGACTCCAGTGATTTCAGAGACTGTGGTGAAGGTGTGGGCTAGGTGGGCACAACACCTCTCCATGCAGTACCTGTGGTAGATGCCTCTCTTCCCTGCCTCCCCATCTATATCAAACTATAAGAAAAACAAAAGATAATGTGCTAGTGCATGCAACACTTCATACTTAAAAATAATTTTCCTTGTGGCATCATCCATTATAACAGTGAAGGTGGCAAATAATAATATGACATGCCTCAAACAACTCATCGTGTGACACAGAGAACAGCAGACAAAAGTTTCTCACCTTGTCCAGGTTATTGTAGAAGTCAACGGCTCCAGCACAGAGAAATCTGCCGAGGAGAGTCGCATGGGTGGTGAAGATGGTGGCCACATCAATGTTCCTCATCCGCAACATTACCAAACCCACACCTGCCAGCCACTCGTGGAAGTGGGCACACACCCGAGGCTTAGCATCACTGAAATTGACCACTTCACTACGAAACTGGAAAAAAGATGGAATTTTACTTCTCAAATACAAAAAAGAAGACAAGAAAATACCATCATTACAGTAAATAAACAACATTGTAAATATCAAAAAGGCCTCTGTCTACCTTTATTTTTTATTTTTTCATCAAGGTTCATGATAGACTACAGTACAGTACTGTACCTCAAATACTGTCCTGACATACTGCTAGATTCAAGTATACATTATAACCACCTAACTAAATCACATCTAATCATTACACGAACTCAACATAAACAGAAGAACTGGGGCGTTAGATCCCATAATATGGCCAGAGGGAAGAGAAAAACTTCTGGCGAGACCCATCCCACAAAAACAATTACCCTGACGACTCTCACAGATATAAGATAATGCCAGTGACTGGAAAATGGCTTATGTGAGTCCTATATTCAAGAAGGATAATTGTCACTCCACGAAAATTATAGACCAGTGAACCTGCGCAGCATATGTAGTGTGTAAAGTACTTGAGAGCATCACAAGAGATGCCATGATGGAACATTTAACATGAAACAACCTTGTAAAGGACTATCAACATAGTTCTATGCCGGGATGCTCCTGCTTTACACAATTACTCAAGGTACTGGATGTTTGGACTCAAATTCTTGAACAGAGCGGTAATATCGACAGTATAAACCTAGATTTTGCCAAGGCTTTCAACAGTGTATCCCATGAAAGGCTGTGAATTAAACTGGAAGGGTATGAGATTTGAGGAAGTTTCTTGTGTGGATCAGAGACTTTCTTCATGATCACAAGCAGTGTGTGGTGATTAGTGGTATGAAATCATCACGTGTACCAGTGACAAAAGGGCTACCACAGGGCAGTGTATTGGGCCCGTTGTTGTTTGTTTGTTTCCTATATGACATGCCAGAAGCTAAACACTCCTCCATACAAATGTTTGCAGATGATGCCAAGTTAGTTAGGAAAATTAACAACCAAACGGTCTGTGAAGAGCTACAGAAAGAACTCCAGCTTCAAAAGTGATTGAAGAAATGGCTGCTAAGATTCAATGTCATGAAGTGGAAGAGGATGCACCTAAGTCGCACCGACAGTAAGGAGACATATCACATGTCCTAATGGGATAAGGAAACTGCATTAATAGAGACCGAATGTGAAAAGGACCTGGATATGAATGTTGACAATGAACTGAAGTTCTCGGGCGTTTATGAGAAGAAGGTGAATCAAACAACTAAACTAGTACAGTAGGTCTTATAAGAAGGTCGTTCAGATATTTAGATGGTCCGTCCCTCGTAATGATCTTCAAGAGTGAAGTGCTTCCCAGTCTGAAGTACTGTCACCCCGTCTGGTCCCCGAGATATTGTCACCGAGATATGCTAGAGACTGTCAGTTGATTGAAAATGTCCAAAGGAGGGCCATCAGACTGGTGCCTGCACTACAGCACCTCAGTCATCCAGATAAGAATGCCTACAAATGCCTAGCTTATACTACTATGGGCAAGGGGGGACCAAACTGAAATGTATAAACATCTCAAGAGGTGCACAACTCAGTCGAGTGTCCATACCTGGAGCTGGTGGGCGCCCCCTCCACAAGAGGTCACAGCTTAAGGTTGAAGAAGCCACAAGTCCAAAAAATTGTGAGATCAAACTTTTTCGGAGTGCGAGTTGTGAACTTTTCGAAAAACCTGCCAGAGAGTGTTGTGACGGCACCAAATGTGAGCTTTATCATCACTGAAGCAAGTTCGGATACATTCAGGAGCAAGCACATGCTCAGTACTTGCTAATAATGCTTAACAGAGAAGTGACCGACTGCCCAAGCGGCTGATGAACCGATCAGAGGCAAAGAGGATAAAAGTAAAAAGTAAAATCATATTCTAAGTTACATTACAATTATAATCTACGTGTATACTGTCTGTACTGTAATCACTTTTAACGGTGCTCCCTTAATCAAACACATACAGCACAGTACAACACTTACCTCTTCAATAAATTTTGCAACCATAAAGCCAAAAAGCACTGCATCGTTGCATTCTATGTCGTGCTGTGGAATACCAATTTTTGAATTTTCATAAAACTCCTGCTTATAGTCATTGAGCGACACAGAGGCTGAGCCGATGTCAAAGAGGATGATTTGAGGGTTGCCGTCCACCAGCCATCGACCTGGGTGTATCTGTAGTGACGACAAAACACAATTATAAGAGGGAATTCACAGGTTACTTCTGTTATGGTAAAACACTGCCTTGTCTCTCGTTCGCTGGGCTAGACTTTATAAACAGTACAGTACTTATGTTCGGTAAATGCTTACAGTATACTGACACTGTATGGGGGTCGGGTGAGGTCAGGTCAGGTTGATTAGATTAGCATTAAGTGTGATTAATAATTCTACTCACTCGCCATCCTTCAGTTCGTAGACGGTTAATGGTGACAGTCAGTGGGGAGTCTGCAGAAAATTCGGCCAACTCGACCTCTGTCCTGACACTGGCTTCCTTATAGGGTCCAAGGAGAACATACTGTTCACCAAGCTCTTCTACCGAGGCGCCACATTTACTTCTAATAACTTGATAAATACCACCAACTGCAATGATAAAGATATAAATTACAATGGATAACTTTACACTGCTTTATCCTGAAAGTAAAGAGAGATTATTATGAGTAACTGTTTTATTCTGAAAGAGAGAATTATGGGTAACCTGACACAGTTTATCCTGAAAGTATTAATCCATTAATTCAAGGATTCATTGCCTAATTTAACCAGTTTTATCATTTAGTACTTAATAGTTGTATGGCTTGACAGACAGACAGACAGACAGGCTAGTAACACCATCACCACGACCTATTCGTGTGTTATTTAACTGTACAATATGTACCATTAAGGTGTGTATTGTTTATCTAATAAAACTTCAACATTTCTACTAGGTTTTGAACTTTGCCCCATCTGAAATATATCACAGACGCCTATGAATTACTCAGACAAAATGTGAAAATGTATACTTCAATTTACAGTATAATCTAAGTGAGCTATACAGGTGATAAAAGATACAACACCTTCAATATAATAATTATCTCATCTGGCCCCAGAGTCTTACCCAATGAGATGAGAGATGCGTTTCCTGTTTGATAGACATAAATATCCCATGTTTCCTTTACCGTTACACCACAACTCACTCCACTACTGTTGACTGTTGTTCATGTTACAATTAACATACAAAATACCTATTACGAAAATACAGGTAAATACTGTATTGGTGTAACTTGATAAAATAGCACTTACATAGCAATATATTCGGTTCAAACCTTCACTATACTTACACCAATAATTCTAAGGTATTTAAGTAATTATAATTTAAAAATAATATTAAAGTATACATAAGAGATCCCGAATAAATTTCTATGCTAATGAAAGAAACGTATTTTATTACAACGGTATACTTAACTGTCTAAATTTAGTACAAGTTTGGGATAATATTCTCATGGTTACATTAATTAATCGAGTCTACGATATATTAGAAAAATTATAGCATTACTTTTTTAACTACAATGTGTTAATTAGACGTATCTAAATATAGTATCGCGCCTAGAGACGGGGGTAGTGGTAAGATAAGTCACTGTAGTGGGGTTGAGACGGCACCTCGACCTTGAGAGCCACTAGCATAGGAAGGTCACTCACACGTGCCACTCTCCACCATCCTCTTAAACTACTGTATATAATAATTACTTACGGTTAATTATACCCCAGTGAGATTATCTTTTCTTAATGTGTATGTTTTATTTAGGTTAAAGAATTAATTAAATAGCTGTAGTCTAATAGTGAATAGTAATGGAAGGTGTGGAGCGTTGGTGTGGTGTGGTTGTCAACTGGGGCCAGCGATGAGGCAATTTAGGTGTGATTGCGTCATTTAAATTTCTATTCACGCGTGTGCGAGTCATTGATAAGAAATAATATGGGAAAACTCCAAGACCAAGACACACACACACAGACACACACACACACACACACACACACACACACACACACACACACACACACACACTACACTTTCTTCTTTCACTTTACACAATCACAAAAAACACAAACTGATAACGCACTGTCCACAAACCAAAACTAGTCCACGTTCGACATAACAAACTCACAATCTACAACACTATAATCAAAACAGCAACTTTTAGATATAACCACAACTAACTCAACCTAACCAAACGTGAACTGACAGTGACCAGACAACTAAACCTCCCTCTAGCCAACAGTGAAGTAACAGTGAATACGAATTTTTAAAGAAACTGGATCTGGTGGATTTGTTTTTCTTCATGTTATTTATTTTTTTTATTCCTACGTCTAGTGGCGGCGGGAATGTGTTCAGTGTGCGGCTTTATCTGATACGGTTTCCTGCGGTTGGGTATTGTCTGTCCGGCTGTTCAGGATGACCACAGTAAAAATGGTCTCGCTGTCAGACACATTAATCAGATGGAGCCAAGATGGTTCCCTGTATACTGGCAACATACCAAGGCTCCACCCACGCCCTCCCTACCCTCAAAACACCCATATATGGGATAGGGTAGGCTGTCTAGTGCCTGTACCGACAGACAATAACTAACCCATGACACAACCCTAACACACTATTAACTCAGCTAACCCGTAGCAAGGCGGTCAGCCCGCCGCCTCCTACCTACCTCCTAAATTTCTTCAATTTCCGAACTATAACTTCCTTCCTCCACCTCTAATCTTCTTTCACCACTTCTTTCTCTCTACAAAAAAAAACAACCAACCTTCTCCCCACACTCGCCTTATGCCCATACCAACCTCCTGACCATCCCTACCCTATGCTCCGAACCCAACACTATAAGCACCTACCTCGACCCTCCATCTTTGAGGTTCGTAGATTAAATTTTGTCTCAACTCTAAAAATTAAAACGTTTGTAATAAGTTCGTATGTGTGTTTGTCCCTTTACTGGTGATGAGAGACTGCAGTTAATAGACCCAAATAGTAACTTTTCCTTTAGCTTGTACATTAGAGAACGCATAAGACCAGGGGCGGATCCAGGGAGGTCCTGACCCCTCTTTTCATCAGAAAATTCCAATACTTTTTCTTTAATGCAGTATTGTACTCGGGAGTTTTTGTATAGTGAAAAGTAATTACTATTGACCTCAGAATATCCCCTAATATCAAGTGCACATGGCTTCAAAACGGCCAGAATATTGGTTAGATTTTAAAAAAAATTATGGGGGGGACTTACAGCGCCCCCCCCCCCAAGCTCGCTGTGCTCGCCATGTTCCCCCACCTACAACTTTGAGAGTCCAGGATCCGCCCTTGAAGACTGGTCACCTTAACTACAGCACCATCTTAATGATCAATGATGACAATATTTCCATTAAGACTCACCCGTAATTATACTATGGTGTCATGTACAGACTATGGTGCCATGTACAGACTATGGTGCCATGTACAGACTATGGTGCCATGTACAGACTATGGTGCCATGTACAGACTATGGTGCCATGTACAGACTATGGTGCTATGTACAGACTATGGTGTCATGTACAGACTATGGTGCCATGTACAGACTATGGTGCCATGTACAGACTATGGTGCCATGTACAGACTATGGTGCTATGTATAGACTATGGTGCCATGTACAGACTATGGTGCCATGTACAGACTGTGGCACCATGTATAGACTATGGCACCATGTGTAGACTATGGCACCATGTATAGACTATGGTACTATGTACAGATTATGGTACTATGTATATATTATGGCAAAAAGACCAGCAACATGGATCAAAACACCACAAGGTCATACCCACATGCTTCATCACCGAGCAGAACTATTGTTGGCACGAGCGGTGGTCACTGTCTTGGTGATGGACAGTACCGGTACCCCGTCACTCAACAGCACTACCGTCACAGCCTCATCTCCCTGTACTGAAATAACCTCCAGTCTGTGTGATCTGTGAGACGACGCAGTAAGTTGTTTTCACCGAGGAGCATCAAAGAAAGGTGTTAAAGGGTTATTTCCACTGGACTCATCACACCTCTTAAACGCGGAGGCTGATATGACAGAGGTGACCCTCCCCCTCCCCGCTCACTAATGTCAGAGATCCATCCACTCCTTTTAAAAGTGTACCGTACCCTCCACTCTGACAAGGAGAGCCACGCAGGGCATACATGGTAGACGCAGACGAGGAGGGGGTGGTGGGGGGTGGCAGTGCTGGGCCAGGAGGATGTGATCGATGCTCCCAGCAGTTGAAGGTTGTTCCTGGGTCATGTAGTATCCTGCAGGACCGCCGCCGCCGCCACCACCACCACCACCACCTTAGAGGACGTTACCCATGACAACAACCGCGTACCCGCCTCCACTATGCTATATCCTAAACCAGCGAGGGGGGGGGGGGGTCAGTCTTTTCTGATGAGGTTACTCTTGAGGCAGTCTGGTCGCCGGGGTAAGTGAGGGGTCGAAAGGGGAGGGGGGGAGGGATTCTACACATGTCTGTCCCCACACGAACAACTTTCCCTGGGTGAAATGATCAATATTTGGTTCACAATTATATACAACTAGTTTAACACACATATTAAGAGTGTTGAGTCTGTGTGGCTGTGTGGGTGACCTTTTCTGCTTAACAACAGTATAATTATTAAACAGTCGCCTCAGTTACGTTACTCCCTCGTGTTGTTGACCGCAATATAATTGTACCCAATACCCCCCACAACCATCACCACAACTACCATCAACCACAACAACCACCATCACTGTCCATTACAACCATCTACCCCCCACAACCATCCACCACTCCCACCTACAACCACCATCCACTAGCACCTATCACCACTGGCCACTACAACCATCCACAACCAACATCACCACTACTACCCACTAATGTACCCACTACTACCCACTAATGTACCCACTACTACCCACTAATGTACCCACCACTACCCACTAATGTACCCACTACTACCCACTAATGTACCCACCACTACCCACTAATGTACCCACCACTACCCACTAATGTACCCACCACTACCCACTAATGTACCCACCACTACCCACTAATGTACCCACCACTACCCACTAATGTACCCACTACTACCCACTAATGTACCCACCACTACCCACTGGCCTTTGCTACATCATCTACCACCACGTACCCACTCCTCAACAGTACCTACTCTCTTACCCATTCCCAAGGTCATCCCCTCCCTATCAACACACTGGAGTCAGTAAAATTTGTTAATCTTGCCTGTTACTCTTGCTTAAACAACAAGAACTAAACAAGGACAGTAAAAGAGTTGTTTGTTTTGCTTATTGATTCTTACTTATATCACAAATTAACTTTAACAACAATTGTATTTAACTAATTCAACTAATCCCTCAAAAAATACTGGAACGTAATACAACTATTTTAAGTTACACTAACTAATCCCAAAAGATCCAACTGACATCTAAGCGAGATTAATTGTAAGCTGATTTAATCCCAATTTAATCTATAGCTTCGATATCTAATCCGATTCAAAGTTGATTAAATTTATATCTAATCCAGTTCAAAGGTGATATAATCCTTATCTAATCCAGTTCAAA